GAATATTAGGAATAATGCTGCCTTGACTGTTCATGTGCATTTCTAATGAATGATTGACATGATCTTTCACTTCTACTGAAAAGCCCTCTTCCATTAGTGCAGCAGCCATGAATGTAGACATCAGAAACTTTGGATGAAAAGGGCAGAACTGTTGAACATTTGTAAAACATCTTGAATTTTAAAGGGTTATTTACTTTGGACATTAGTATGAATAGTTGTTTAAAATAATTATGAAAACTATGGCTATAAGAAACCTTTCGACCTCTATAGTTTCCTTATCTATAAAATGGGTATAGATATTGTTGTTGTTATCTGCCACTGAGTCAGAACCTACTCCTGACTGACCCTCCACTGGATTGTCAGAAGCTGGATTGCCCATCTTTCTCCCTCACAGCAGTTGGTGAATTTGAACTGCGTTTCTTTGGACTAACAGCTCAAATCCTTACTACATGGCCACCACAGATCCCTGATATTATTGTTAGGAAAAAAAGAACGAGGTTGTTGCAAGGTTTATATGTTGTTGTTATGTGCCATCAAGTCGCTTGCAACTTATAGCGACCCTATGTACAGCAGCTCTAGACTCTGCTCTTTTCTGTGCCAATCTCATTGCCTCTGACACACTCATCCCGATTGCCCCAGTCACCGAATCAGTCCATCTCCCAAAGGGCCTTCCCCTCCTGCGCCTGCCCTCCACCCTCCCAAGCATGTTGTCCCTCTCCAAGGACCCGTCTCTCCTTACAACATGACCAAAGTATGTCAGACGAAGCCTCAGAATCCTTGCCTCCAAGGAGCAGCCCCGTGAATCTGTTTGTTCTCTTAGCAGTCCATGGCACCTTCAGCACTCTTCTCCAACACCAAAGCTCAAAAGCATCAATTCTCCTTCTATCCTCCTTGATCAGTGTCCAGCTCTCTGATGCATAACAAGTGATTGCAAAGACCATGGACTGTACCAGACGCACCTTTGTCTCCAGAAACACACCGTTGCTCTTGAGTACTTTAGAGAGGTCCCTAACAGCAGACTTTCCCATGGCAAAATGTCTTTTATATTTGTTCCCATTCCAAAGAGGGTGACCCAACGGAGTGTGGAAACTATAGAACAATATCGTTGATTTCACATGGAAGCAAGATTCTGCTGAAGATTATCTGAAAACGATTGGAACAGTACATCAGCAGAGAACTGCCAGAAGTCCAGACTGGCTTTAGAAGGGGTCGTGGTACTAGGGATATTGTAGCTAATATTAGATGGATATTGGCTGAAAGCAGGGAGTACCAGA